CGCCCAACTGGTTGATGGCCTGCCTTCGAAACTCAGGGACGTGATTGCAAACCTGTATCAACCGTCTTGGGATTTGGGCAAGTTCTTTGAGGTGGTGACTGCTAACCTGCACAAACTCACGCCTGCTGGTGCCCGCGCCGAACCTAAACAGGGTGCCTTTGCTGTTGAGCATGGTGGAGGGCGCGGGCACGGGCATGGCCGTGGACGTGGTCGCGGACGCGGTCGTGGACGTGGTCGTGGCCGTGGTCGCCATGGTATACACCACGGGCCCCACCCAAAGAGTGATCGCGTCAATGCCAACTGTGAATTTTGTCGCATCCATGGCCACGATGCATCTCAGTGCCGCAAGAAGCGCGCGCACGAGAAGCACAATGGCAAGCAGTTTGCGGCCCCCGTCATGACCGCGACCTTGTCTCTTCCACCCCCCTCCCATTTGCCTGCTGCACCTGCTGCTCCTCCTTCCCATTTGCCCGCTGCTCCTGCTGTGAATTATTCGCCCGCACAAACACATTATCGTCACCACGAGTTGTTCTTGACTTGTTTGTCAGCCATGGTGTCTTGCGCCCCATTGTTCTTGATCGTTGCTTTTATGTGCCTTCTTTTTCTCACAACATTGTCTCGCTTTCTGCTCTTGTTGATGCTGGTTTTGTCGTGTCCTTGTCTGACTCGTCTACATTTTTGTTGAGTGATGCTGATGTCACTTGGTCTGCACCACGTGATGCAGCCAGTGGTGGCTTGTTTTTCTTTTCCTTTCTCCCAGCTCACCACCTGCACCACCAGCACCACCACCAGCAACAACAGCATGCCCATGTTGTGTCTGCTTCGCAGATGCATCGTCTTCTTGGCCACCCGCCGCGCGAAGTTTTGCGCTCCATGCTACAGCAAGTTGAAGACACCTCGGACGTCAAGGCCATCCTCAACTGCAACGATTGCAACCTCTTCAAGGCTAAGCGCCTTGCTCTGGCTGGCTTCGATCGCGACCGCACGCCCCGCATGCCTGGTGAACTGGTCGCTTCTGACATGTTTGGCCCGCTTCGCTCCCCTAGTATCAAAGGAGCGAGGTACATCATTGCCTATCGGGATGTGGCGACGGGCTTTCTTTGGCTCGACCCTGTCTGTCGCAAGGACGATCTGGCTGAGAGCTTTGCTCGCCTGATTCGCGACTCGCCCATCCCCATTCGCATTGATGAAGCCGACATGCAGAAGCGCACCATCATCCAGAGCGACA